ACCTTTTAAAGTTTTAAGCCTTATTCAAAAATGTAGAGTTACCAAACTGGACATTTGGGATATCTAAACTTCTCTGGATAATTATTAAGATAGGTTTGCTTTTTGAATAAATTTACCATCTCCCATCCTGATTTGTATCATATTTACACAATTATTGTTTTGAAAAAGCCTTTGTGAGTGTAGATTGATTTGTTTAAAGGCCATGATTAGACTCTGAAATAGTCCAAACCCCTATTTTCCTTATATCTTATAATACTCTCTATAATTAAGTAATTTCATTTAGTGGCGCACAACAAAAAATACCAAACCTCATTTACTGGCGCCCAACGTATTGTTCAATTTTTTCCATATGAAATACATATTTGAAAATTTCCGAATAAGCATGTTTTGCTTATTGGACATGGAAAACAAAATTTACTCAAAACCCGACGTAATCGCTAGGAAAACAAACACACGCAAATGCCAACACATGTAGGGATATTTCCTCGCGTTTTCCTTATTGGCAACGGAAAATAAAAACATCTTGTCGGCGGCAATAAGAAAATATTGTCATTAAGAAATATTTCCCGAAAATAACCCGGGTATCACATTATCGGAAATATTCTGATAGACATTTTACATTTAATTTACATTTCCCTAAAGAGGATTTACCGATTTTCCAGTTGATTAGTGAGTGAGCGGAGAGGGGAAACACAACCACAGGCCATAAAACGATTAATTCACCAAAACCAAAAGATCAACAAACAAATCGGTTTGACTGCACACAGCAAATCTACCTAGACAAACACTTTCACTTAATGGTTTAAAGCATCGAAGGATGGACAGAAAGACAGGAGGAAGAAGCGGAAAAAGAAGATATTAGATACAAATCATTTTGCAACACACAACCAAAGACAATACAATGTGAGTTGAGTCTGACATCACAAAGGTGATTTGTTTTACTACTTCCGAATTTCCAGGTAGTTGTGTGGGTGTATGAAAATTATTGTGAGAATGAGAGAGAGAGAGAGAGAGAGAGAGAGAGAGAGAGAGAGAGAGAGAGAGAGAGAGAGAGAGAGAGGATCGGTGAATGATATTATTTTGGAAATTTTGTGAAATCCCATTATTTCCGAATTAACTTGCCAAAATATTTATGACCATTTGCAAAACGACAACAACAACAAATATAACGATACAACAATTTTGTGTTGTTGTTGCTATCTTTAATTAGTTGGGCAAACACTTCTGGTCATCTCGTCGTGTAGATTCAAGTCTTTTGTTGGTCAAAATAGTGGCGTCTATCCACTGTCGCTGATGTTCGAACAATTTTCATGCCACATCAGTGTGTGTGTGTGTGTGAGTGATTGTCCTTGTCGTGTTTGTGTTGTGTGTGTGTTTTTGAACAAAATTAACAAACAATTAACACCCGATTATTCATACCTGCTTAACAAAGGATTTGTTGACCGGCGTTTTGCAAAACTTGACTTTTTAAGTAGGCTCTGAATGTCGGCTCGTCCAGACGGATAGACAGTTCGAACAAAAGGATTATATGATGCCGATTGTCTGAGAGAATTTTGGAAATAATTGCATTTTCCTATTAGCAAAATATCCAGAGAATTTAAAATGAAAAATAATCTTAGAATATCAGGCTATTATGATAAGGAGTATTGGGATCTCAAGGATGTCACATGAAGTCATAAAGGCTCTATAAATTGAGAGGTCCTAATTTTTGGTATATTGTAATTTGTTGTCATTATATGAAATATTGTTGTAGTCTTACACACCGACTTGACACTATGGCATATTTACCGGGTGGAAACAATAGAAATTTTACTTTCATTTGAATGGTTCGTTTGTGGTGGCAGAATGTGTAAAATTACATTTGTTAATAAGCAGACTAAGCGATGTTCAATCAGTCAGAGGCGTCTTTGTATATCAAGTTTAAAGATCGGTAAAATCGCCTGCCCCTACTGGTACCCCTACATAAAGCAAAGTCTAAAAATGTTATAAAAATTGAATGGACTATCATATTTCGTTCAAACTTGGCATACCGTAATGTCTCCAACACATATATTGCTTAAAATGCAAATCTTGGGCTACCCCTTCTGGTACCTCCTCCACACAGAGGGTCGAAATTTTTGACTAATTACAATTCTTATAAAATCATACATCAATAATCACATTTTTAAGCTTTGCAAATTCCAATATTTATCTCAGCTCCAGATATGGAACAAAGATGGGCCATAATAATTTACTACTATTTCGTACTCCTCAAAAAAAAAAAATAAGAATAGTCAAAAAAAAAAAAAAAACAAAAAGTAAAAGAGCTGTAAGTACGGCCGGGCCAAACTTTGAATGCCTTCTACCATTTGGTACAAATATGCCAATTTTCAAAAAATTAAAATCCATTAAAAATTGTGTTAAAATCTTAAAAATACCGAATGTAGCCGTCGGGTCTATACAATGACGAGGTCCTGCATACGCAACTTTTATCATAAGCCTGCACAGACAATTTTCATATTAAAATTTGAAATAATTCCGGTAAATAATGTCGTTGAAATCATCAAAATACCGTATATCGGGCTATACGAAGACGTGGACCTGTTTAAGGCTGTAGTATCCATTACAAACTTCAAATACCAATTTTGAAACAATTCCGGTAAATAATGTCGCTAAAATCATCAAAATACCGCATATCGGGAGGTACCGTTATATAGGGGCTATACGAAGACGTGGACCTGCACAAACATTTTTCTGTCATAGCCTGTAGTATTCATTACGAACTTCAAATACTAAATTTGAAATAATTCCGGTAAATAATGTCGTAAAATCCATCAAAATACCGAATACGGGGGGAACCGTTATATGGGGCTATACGAAGACGTGGACCTACATGGCCCATTTTCTGCCTTAGGCTGTAGTACACATTACGAACTTCGAATACCAAAATGTCGCTATAATCATCAAAATATCGGAAGGTACCGTTATATGGTGGCTATACGAAGACGTGGACCTACATGACCCATTTTGGCTCTAGTATCCATTACAAACTTTCAATACCAATTTTGAAAAAATTCCGGTAAATAATGTCGCTAAAATCATCAAAATACCGCATATCGGGAGGTACCGTTATATGGGGGCTATACGAAGATGTGGACCTACATGGCCCATTTTCAATACCATAAGTCCTGCGGACATAGTACACATTTGAGCAAATTTTTATCAAAGCTAGACACCCACTCACTTACTTTTTTCCCTCCCCTCAAAAACTGCAACACTCTACGCCACTGTAACGTGTTAATTGTTGGCACTACAATTAATTTAATAATTTTTAAATTAATTGTAAAATGCAGTGTTTTAAATGTTTGGCTTTTGAACTTGACACAAGTGCTTCAACGTAGGCATTCAAGTCGCTAAGCTAGTCTGCGGAACAGTGCGGCAGTAACGTTTGTTGTTGTCAGAAATATGATTTCTATTCTCGCTGACGGTCAAAAGCAAAGGAAAAAAAAATGAAGTAAACTAAAATAAAACAAAGCACAGAAACGACATGCAATGTTTAAGTCATTGAGGAACCAGGAATGAAAGTGGTTGTAGTGCAAAGTAGGTGGGTGTGTGGAGGTAAGATTGTAGAAGAAGCGCAAATGCTGGACTGCTTGACATTTTTAAAATAAACATATAAATGTTTTTTTTAATCTTCTATATATATATATATATATACTTTGTGGGGTCTAAAATGTATACTTCGAGTTGTTACAAACGGAATGACAAACCTAATATATCCTCCATACTATGGTCGAGGGTATAAAAATAATCCACACAAAATTTTACTATAACTCAGGATATTTAATATGTCTAGGTACACAAGATTACATTTATTATAGGTACACAAGATTATATATTTAAAGTGGAAATTATATATTTACCTTTCTGAATGTTAATCTCTTACCTTTCTAATCTAAGTCAAAATTGGAATAAGTCAAAATCTCGAAGGAGGAAATATTCTAGATCAAATTTACCCTTCATCATATTGAAGAATCTTAATTAAAAAAAATTGTCGAAAAACACAACTTAAATGAAAACCGTTATATGGGGGATATACGAAGTGTTGGACCTGCATAAGTAATTTTTTTCATTGGCCGTAATATCGATTCAGAACTTCAATTTGAAACAATTCGCTAATATCTACAAATTTGAAACAATTCCGGTGAGTAATGTTGCTAAAATCATCAAAATACCAGATAAAAGGAGGTACCTTTATATGCGGGCTATATGAAAACGTGTATCTGCATAGACAATTTTCTAGTACAGGTTGTAGTACTCCTTACGATCTTCAAAATTTAAATACGAAATTTTAAACAATTCCGGTCAAAAATGTCACTAAAATAATCAAAATATGGAATATAGAAAGGTACCGTTATATAGGGGACATACGATATCGTGGACCTATATGGACAATTCTCTTCTAGCGGGTAAAATACTCAGAAAGAATTCCTTGTGTGGATTTTCATATAGTTTCATTGAAAATGTGGCAAAAAACATCAATATACCGTACATCGGGAGGTACTGATATATGGAGGACATACGATATCACGGATATATAGACAATTTTCTTCCGTGGGTGAAGTACTCAGAATAACCTCGTGGTGTGGATTCTTGAAAAATTTGGCTACAATCATCAAAATATCGAATATAGGGAGTTACCGTTATATGGGGGATATATGATATCGTGGACCTATATATACAAACCAGAGGGCAACCCTCTCAGAATGAACTCCTTGTGAGGATTTTCAGACAATTCCTTTATATGGGGTCCATGCGATATCGTGGATCGATATAGCTTATCTTCGAATTTGAACTGCTTGGCTGCACACTGACCTGTGCAACATTTTAGCTTTAGGGGCAATACCAAATCCTATTTTTAATCAATCTAACTTTATCAATCTGTAAAAGCTCTGCCAAATTTTAAAGCTCTATCTTAATTTTTACTAAATGTAGAGCAAAATAATGGCAACATTAAGTCCTCCAGTCTTAGAATTTATTAGATTTTTGAATTTTTTGTACAATTGATATGAAAAGCTTAATTTTTAGCAAGTTGAGATTTAGTCTCAATATAGCTCATTTTCATGTCCAATCAGCCTGCATATAATGTAAAACGTTGCGCGAACGGACACACATCGCTTTCTTTCGCATTCACTTTTATTTGGTAGAAGATATAGAAATCAAACCTCCCAAAAACTCCCTCGATTTTGAATAAAGATTGAAACTCGTCCGAATTTAAGTAAAGTGTGAAACTCGATCAAATACGAGAGGAGGATCCTGGAAGTAAAAACGAACGAATAAAAAAAAATGAAGCACACTCTATGTTGCGAGCATGTTTGGCTCTTTTTAGAGTGGGAGAAAAATTCGATTCTTTCAAATTGTACAATATCAAAACTGGTTTGTTGTTACACACACACACACAAATAATAAAAACCAAATAATTGTTTCCACTCGATATTACTCTTAAAGCAAACTCTCACTCTATTTCCAGTGATTTGACTTCCACTCTAGATTAATAAAATATGGGAACGCGCCCACAATAAACAAACATTGAATATTGAACGCTCCCACAATTAACACAATACTGAAGAGTAAACTCCGTTTTAAACTCTGTCTCTTCGGGCCAACATGTTCGCCAGCAGGTTTCACTCCCAAGTGAAAACGAGCAAATATGTGCTCTCATCAAAATTGGAAAATCAGGAGTTATATGTTAGCTAGGGCCTATAAATAAATTGGGAAAGAAATTGTCAATTTTCAATGTCAAGCACCGTAGATATTGCTCCCAAGTCACTTGTTAACATATTCCATGACGTAAATTGAGTTTTTGTGTGTGTATGAGAGAAAGAAGATACGTAGAGACTCACAATTTCTCATTAAACATTTCAATGTCTGGTTACGGAGTAATGGCATCAACAATGGGCCGGTCAGTCAGAGATCGTTCAATACATTTAAGACTAAAATATATCCAAAGTTTCGAATACATACACTTTCGGAAAATACATACTTTTTGGGGTCTCCGACTAATATTTCGAGGTGTTGCAAACGAAATGAGTATTTAATATACCCTCCATTGTATGGTGGATATTATTATTATTATGTTTATTTCGCATTAACTTTTATATGGCAGAAGGTATAGAAATCAAACCTCCCAAAACTCCCCCAATTTTGAATAAAGATTGAGACTCCTCCGAATTTAAGCAAAGTTTGAAACTCGATCAAATGCGAGAGGAGGATTCCTGGAAATAGAAACAAACGAATAAACAAATGAAGTACACTCTAGCATGTTTGGCTCGTTTAAGAGTTGGAGAAAAATTCGCTCGAAATCGAGCAGATTCTACTATTGTCGAGCACTCTTTTAGTTTTTGTTATACCGTTAAACCTTCATTGAAATTGTACAACATCAAAACCGGTTTGTTGTTACACACACGCACACACAAATCAGCGAGTCAAATAATTGTTTCCACTCGATTTTACTCTTAGAGCAATATCTCACTCTTGACTACCACTCTAGTTTAACTAAATATGAATGAAAATTGAATGCTCCAACAATAAACTAAACAGTGAAGAGTGAACTCCGTATGAAGCTCTGGCTCTTCGAGCTGACACGTTCACGAGCTGGTTTCACTCTCAAGTGAAAACGAGCAAATATGTGCTCTCACCAAAATTGGAAAATCAGGAGTTATACGATAGCTAGGGCCTATAAGTATCGTAGATTAACATATTTCTTGTTGTTAACATATTTCATGATGTAAATTGAGTTTTTGTGTGTGTGAGAGAAAGAGAAAGAGAGAGGGAAGTTACGTAGAGGCTCACAATTTCTCATTAAACATTTCAGTGTCTGGCTACTGAGTAATGACATCAACAATGTCAGTCAGAGATCGTTCAATGCATTTAATGCTAGGAACACAATTGGAGCGAACGACGAATTTTTTCGCGGCGTATGTTCGTCGTCAAAAATAAAAACCATATGTGTATATGGAAGTGCACACAATCACGGCGGCGGCGAAAATTTCGTCGGTCGCCGCGAACTCAATTAGCTTTATTTCTATTTCATACGCCGGCGAACGGCGACAAAACAGTACAAGGTGGCCATACTTGTACGAATTTTATGTGTTTTAGTAAATAAAGTTACTTTTTACTTAAAAATTTGTTATGGTCACTCTACTATCTGTTATTCGTATAAAAAAACATAAATAATTTGTTTATTTATTTGTGCACTTGCGCCTGAGTGAGGATGGATATCAGTGAATTTATAATAGAGAAGATGGACATAACTGAAATTATAAAGAATTGTGAGTTCTTGTATAATTTTCATTGTAGTCAACAAATGAGCAAAAAGTAAACAACTTCATCAGCTGTTTTATAATTTCGTCGGTATTGTGTTCCATACGACGAATTTTCGCGGCTCATTTTGTCGCCGCGTAGGGCGAAATTCGTCGTTCGCTCCAATTGTGTTCCTAGCATAAGACTAAAACATATCCAACGTTTCGTTTGAGTTTGGCGAGAAAAATGGAAGACTGTCTCCACTAATAGCACACGATCTGAAAATCCTTCAAGCTGGCTTCAAACGCAACATTGGTGTGAGTTAGCATTTGGATCCATGTTTTGGTGGAGATATAAAATATCTACATTTTTTTGGTATATTTACTTTTTTTGCCACAAAAAAAATCCAATTATACATATAAATATTTATTTACTTACCTTCCTCCAATGAGCTTTTGGGAAATTTCTTCAGAACTCAGAAAAACTTGGTCCTCGATTGTCAAATAGTTCTGTTGATGTTGAAATGTAATTGAGACTTCCAGCACCATTCCTTGAAACACCTTTATTCCTCCATTGAGCGATGATATTGTATTGCATTATTTTCTAAGAAACACAAAATTTAATATGAGTTTTGAATTTAAATAAAACGCTTAATTATTGACTTCTAAGAAAACGACAATTTCTCAAAACGAATATTTCAAATTTTACCTTCTTTTGAATTTTGCCATTCAAATATTGTCATTTAAATATTTTTTATTTTCTATTCAAACATTTATTTTTTTTTTTTGTTTTCATTAAATGTCAAATTGTTTTCTCCTCAAAATTTTCTAACAAACTGCGGAGATTGCGAGAGAAAAATCAAAAGAAAAAATTATTACTGATTCTAATTTTCAAAGTTAACTGAGTTTTGAAATTAAATTTTTGTCACATCCTCACTCTGGAATTTGATTTGAAATGGCAAAAAATGATGTTGCTGCTGTTGCTGGTGCTGTAGCTGTTCACAACTGCAAATGTTAACGACGACGATGATGTTGTGGTTGTTGTTGTTGCCATTGTCAATAAAGATGATGATAATGAGGAGATGCGATGCAAAGCGTTGTCGAAGATGTTGTTGAATATCTCACGCGTGTAATTGAATCATTGTGGAGCAGATGTTAAAATCCAGTGATGGCCAAACTCATGCACCTCAGCTACAGGTAATGAGAAAGAAAAACTAAGGTGAGAAATTGAAAAAAAAAATTAAAATGTTTAAGGGCCATTTTGACAATATTTATACCCTCCACCTTACATAGTATGGAGGGTATATTAAGTTCGTCATTCCGTTTGTAATAATTTTAGACACAAGAAAGTATATATAGTTTTGATCAGCGTAAAGTTCTAAAACAATTTAGCCATGTCCGTCCGTCCGTCTGACCGTCTGTTTAAATCACGCTAGAGTCCAAGCGAATAAAGATAGGAAGCTAATTTCTTTCTTTTGTCTGCAGGCAGGTCAAGTTCGAAGATTTTTTTCAATGAAGTTGTCACAAAATTCAAAAAAGGAGCTCCTTCTGAGCACTTTACTTCCTGGAAGAGATATTTGGTATTTTGACGATTTTAGGGACATTATTCACCGGAGTTCTTTTAAATTTCATACTTAGAATTCGAAATGGGTACTATAGCCTATGACAAAAAAATTGTCCATGCAGGCCTACGTCTTGGTATAGTCTTCATATAGCGGTACATCCCAATATTCGGTATTTTGATGATTTTAACGACATTATTTACCGGACTTGTTTCAAATTTATTTAGAGTTGATAATAAGAACTACAGTCCATGGTACAATGAAGAGAAGGTAGGTCAAGTTAGAAAAAATTGCAAGTATAGAGGTCTACCTGTTTGGCTTGTAATGTCAGAATAAGTATCAAAACAATAAAAAATCAAACAACTTGTTGCATTTATTTTGAATAAATAATTGAAAACCGCGATAATTGAATGAAAGGTCAACACTTCTTTTCAAAATCATGTACTATATATCTCTAAAGGATTATTTCGCTACAAAAACTCTAGATTTTGTAGATGCATACGTTGAAATAAACATTTTGAAAACACCCGAATTTGAATGTTTTCTGAACAATTTTTTTGTTTTTGAAAAGAAAACACGTACATAAACAAATAAAGATGACATATTAAGCCAAGAAAATAAAAAAAATTAAAATCATATGGTAGTTCTGCCCTACCTTGATATCATTGTACCATGCTACAGTCCATGACAAAAAATTGTCTATACAGGTTCAGGTCTTCATACAGGCCCCATATATCAGTACAATATTCACCGAAAATGTTTAAAATTTCGTATTTGAAGTTCCTGTAGCAGAAAATTGTATATGTAGGCCCAGGTCTTCATATAGCCCCAATATATCGGTACCTCCCTATATTTGGTATTTTGATGATTTTAGCTACATTATTCACCAGATTTTTTTTCAAGTTTCGTGTTTGAATATTTTAATGGTTTATGACAAAAGTTGCCTATGCAGGTCCACGTCTTTGTATAGACCCCAATATAACGTGTACATTCGGTATTTTTAAAATTTTAACAGAATTTTTAACGGATTTTATTTTTTGAAAATTTCCAAATTCGTTCCAAATGGTGGAGGGTATTTAAAGTGTGGCCCGGCCGAACCTACTGTTTTTTACTTGTTTGTATTTACAAACAAGTGTTTCCACATAATAAGAACTCAAAAAGCCAACATTTGTGCGAAAACGTAAAAAATCTTGAAATCTGAGAAATAAAAGTGGACCGATATGACTCATTATACAATCAGCCATAAGAGGGTAATACAATTTGATACGGTCAAAGCGTGCCTAGTCGAAATAACGGTTTTAGACCCTAGGTCTCTTTGGACCAAATCCGTTCTAGAACATTTAGAGTCGATCTAGCGATGTCCGTCCGCCTGTCTGTATGGCTGGCTGGTGCGCACGATAACTCTCGAAGGGAGTATATGATTTGGTCCAAACTGGGTACACCGCAATATTTTTGTCAAACCTAGATCGAGTTCGGAGATGAGCAATATCGGTCCACTCCTTCTGGTACCTCCCCCACAAAAGGCCGAAATTTTCAAAAAATATATTTTTTGCACAGAAAGAGAATGGATAATCCGATTTAGTTGTAACTTTGCAAATCCTAGTATTTCCGTCAGTGCTAGTTCAGGTGTGAAAATGGACAATATCGGTCCACTCCATCAAGTACCTCCCCCACAAATGGTCAAAATTTTGAATAATTACAACTCTCATAAAATGTGATTGTCTTCAAATTTCACACATCCCAATATTTATATTAACCCAAGGTCTGGTGTAAGGATGACCTTAATCGGCCCACTCCTTCTGGTATCACCCTCACAAATGGTCGAAATTTGCAAAAAACAAGTTAAAAAGTATCCGTCGGTATTGCCGACAGATATATACCCTCAGCCTACGTTAGATTATTTAAATATATTTTGGCTAGTATTACGATTATTCAAACGTTTGACCCTCTATGTAGCAGGTTCCGAAGAAATGGGTCAATATTGTCCATTTCGTATTTTATGCCAAATCATAAAAACAGATAAAATTATTGAAAATTGTGACACTATGTGGGTGAGGTGCCAGAAGGGCTTCGAAGATATATACAAATCTTGTGTTAGCAAAAATTTTGTATGTTTGAAATTTGCAGAGATGCTTATTTCGCTTTATTTAATCGTTTTTTTTTTTTTAAATCTTGAACCCTATGTATGGGGGAGGTACCAGAAGAAATGGTACGATCTATACCATCTTTATAACAGATCTTGTGTTGATAGAAATATTCAGATGTGCCAAGTCTAAATGAAATCGGATGTTAATTTGGCGTTTTATGAGCCACATGGGTATTCAAAATGTCGACACTTTGTGGGGGAGGTACCAGAAGGAGTGGACCGATATATTCCATGTTAACACCAGATCTTAGGTTTATAGAAATATTGGGGTGTGTGGAATTTTAAGACGTTTGGTTCCTTACATCACATTTTATATGAGTTATAATTATTCAAAATTTTGACCCTTTGTGGTGGAGGTACTTGATGGAGTGGACCGATATAGTCCATTTTCGCACCTGACCTAGCACTTACGCATATATTAAGATTCGCAAAGTTCGAGCGAAATCGGATCATCCTTTCTCTTTCTGTGCAGAAAATAATTTTTTTGCAAATTTCGGCCTTTTGTGGGGGAGGTACTTGATGGAGTGATCCGATATTGTCCATTTTTGCACCTGACCTTGCGCTGTTACAAATATTAGGATTTGCAAAGATGGGGCAAAATCGGATCATCCTTTCTCTTTCTGTGCAGAAAATATATATATTTTTTTGGAAAATTTCGACCTTTTGTGGGGGAGGTACCAGAAGGAGTGGACCGATGTATTCCATCTTCACACCAGATATTACGCTAATAAAATTATTGGGATGTGTGAAATTTGAAGACAATCGGACCCTTACTTCACATTTTATAAGAGTTGTTATTATTCAAAATTTTGACCCTTTGTGGGGGAGGTACTTGATAGAGTGGACCAATATAGTCCATTTTCGCACTTGACCTAGCACTGACAAAAAATATTAGGATTTGCAAAGTTGGAGCAAACTCGAATCATCATTTCTCTTTCTGTGCAGAAAATATATTTTTTGAAAATTTCGACCTTTTGTGGGGGAGGTACCAGAAGGAGTAGACCGATATTGCCCATCTCCGAACTCGATTTAAGTTTGACAAAAATATTACGATGTACAAAGTTTGGACCAAATCGGGTACTCCCTTCGAGAGTTATCGTGTGCACCAGCCAGCCAGACAGACAGACAGACGGACGGACGGACATCGCTAGATCGACTCCAAATGTCCTGAAACGGAACGGGTCTAAAACCGTTATTTCGACTAGGCACGTTTCGACCGTATCAAAAGATATATATCCTCTGTAGCCATATGGCTGAGGGTATAAAAATATATATTTTTTTGCACAGAAAGGGAAGCAATAATCTAATTTTGCAAATCCTAATATTTGCGTCAGTTCTAGGTCTCGTGCCAAAATTATTAATTATTATTATATTATTGGTCCACTCCATCAAGTGCCTCTTCCACAAAGGTCACAATTTTAAATAATATTAACCCTTAAAAAATATGATGTAAGAGTCCGATTGTCTTTAAATTTCACACATCCTACTACATCGGACCATTTCTTCTGGTTCCTCCCCCACACTGGGTTCAAGATTTTGAAAAACAGAACTGTCAAAAAAGCGGTCAAATTTCACACATCCAAATATTTTTGCTAACACAAGATCTGTTGTGAGGATGATAGATATCTGCGAACCTTTTCTGCTACCACACCACAAAGGGTCACAATTTTCAATATTTTTATCTTTCATAACTTGCGGAACAAGTCAACGATTCTTCTCAACTTGCTGTACCTAAATATTTTTCTAAACCAGAAACCTGTGATAGATATGAAATTTTTGATTTCGTATAAAATTGGATATAAATGTTTGATTTTTTTTGCAATTTGGCCCATACCTGTATTTTTATCTGTATTAGATGAAGTGTGAAAAAGGAATACTACTTCGGGTGACTATATTTGGTACCTCACGGTCATTTTAACATTTTCTAAAAATTATCGGATCTCTCATGTAAAGTGAAGGAAGTTAACAAAATAATCCAAACCTGGCAATTCGCAATATTAATATCATATCTATTTAGGTCCGATACGAAATGGACAATATTGGTCCATTCCTTCGGAACCTACTCTATAAGGGCCAAAAATTTGACTAATCAGAACAGAAGTCAAAATATATTTAAATAATCAAACATTGGTTGAGGGTATAAATCTCTCGGCAAAATCGGCTGATTTTATTTAATTTTTTTTGTTTGGAACATTGATGCAAAAAAAAAATATACAGTGGAAATTGAAATTTCTTTTCTTTGATGGCTTATTGTGAAATTTGATGAAGAATATTTTTGTGTTTGACGTCATCCTTCCAAAATGAATATTTGTTGGAGATTTTTGTACAAACTCACACAAAGTTTCGCTTTAGTCCTGAAATATGTCTTAATATATAAAGGTGAGGGTACATAAACAGCTTGAAGTCTTCGCATGGTATATTTTGTGACATATCATAAAGGGATGCCAGAGCCGCACTCAAATTCTTCCGTCGTTTCCCTTTATAATCTG